GCTCTTTTTTCAAGCACCTAAGAACTTAAATTTTTTTTGTTTCTTGACTTTAATGCTAAAGCACTGAGTGCAGCAGGCCTATAAAAAGACCCATTTAACAATACGTACAAAGTCTGGCACCTTATTAGCTTAGGTTGCTGGGAATACAGCATCACACTCCGCTCTTTACAATCACGATCTGCATGCATTCTTTCATCTACATATCCTTTTTTAAAACTATTTAAAGTTTAATTTGCTGTAAATAGCCCCTTTTCAGACCACCTCACCATGTGAGATATGCTTTAAAATAACTGAAGGGCGCAAGACTCCTACCTCTGTCCCGGAGGCTGGCTCTTAATGCTCTCTCCAGCTGCTCCTCTTCACTCAGCCCTGCTGTGTACATATCATAATTCCTGGGTGCTTCATAGGACCCCGGCCTGCCATACGGATAATGATCCTGATATCCAGAGTGGCCTATAGGCACAAGGAAAAGGTTATACCGCACGGCTACAGAAACTTCTTTTGTCTCATCCTTCTTATTTTGTATCATTGAAGGCATGCACATAATTCAGGTCACTATTTTGAGTATAATGATCCTTAAAACAGGAAAAGATGACAACTGGAGACTGCCTCCCTGAGGGTGGACAATGCTGGTCTTGCCATTGTTGAATACACAGTGCCCGACACAAAGTCAGACATGAGTGAGTCCTTACATGCTAATGAGGAACGAAGATGATTTCAAACATAGTCAGGGGTCCTGGAGAAGGGACTGAAATGGGCTCTGGCAAACGGTGAATTCTTTCTGCTTACAACTCTTCGATACTTGGACTATGTTCACTGAATTCCTGACTTGAGACAAGAGGATGCTGGAAACAATAACTGATAAAGCCTTATTGTCTTGTGGCTACATGTAAAGAGAGGCAGGCCAATGACTAATGCACATGCCACTGAATTTCAGTGCTGGGTATCATACTTCAGAGAGTAATAACAACGCTGACATGTGCAAGCCAATTCCTATGAAATTGTAATTTCATGTGAGAGACTGCAAAGTTCATTGCTAGATCACACAAGAGAGAACCACCTGGTCAGCTGAAAGTACCAAACATACATACTCGATTAATACAGATTAATAACAAAATGGAGTTCACTTTGGCAAGATATTCCCATCAATCAGTTTGATTTTGATTTTATTCCTTACATTTTCTTTTACTGCCAAATGTCGTAGAATTTGCTTGAAAGAGTTTTCAGTTTTTTGCTCCTTGACCTCCAATTAGATTACCAGTCTCATTCAGTGTAACAGGAAAGAAGTAACACTCTGTTTTAATCCCCACCCCCCTTCTTGTCCTTATCATACCCTCTGATGTTCTAAACTTAACGAATGTATTTTTGGTTGATGAAAACTGCTAACCTACACTATGAGTTTTATGTCACATGTCTCCATATTACCCAATGAGGTACATACCTGAGTTACAGCATTAATAAGACTATAGAAAAAAAACACAATCAAACCAACAAGAACTGTATGACAGAACCTAGGAAATTGAGGATTTATATTCAGAATTTTTGATAATTGGTCCTCTGGTTATTTTTAAATTTATTTTTATATTGGTTACAAATAAAATATTTTCCTAATATGCAAGATTATAAAACAAGGGCCAACCCCTGGACTAGTGGTTAAGGGAGCTAGATCCTAGTTAACCAACTATGATTCAAGTCCCAGCTTTGGCAGCTAAAAAAAATGCCAGGTGAGCAGATGGAGGTCCCCAAACCCTAACAGGATTTAGAAGAGAAATGAAGGAGATGAGAAATGGAGGAGAAGGGATTGCAGTGTTACTATGCCACATTGGGTTGGTGGTGGTGGTGGGGGGGGTTGCTTTCTCCCTTTCAGTGTCTCTGCCAGGTACATGTGCCAACTAACAATTTTTTAAAAAAAAAGTTTTATTTCTCAGCATTCTAAAGTTTTTATTTTCATTAAAACAATGAAATGACAATAAAACACATTAATCTAGTCTTAACTAAAAAAACTAATATTTAATAATTACATCTTCATATAAGTATTTGTCATGTAAAGTATTTGTTTACTGATGTTTACAACAGTTCCCCCTTATCTGTCAAGGATATATTCCAAGACCCACAGTGGATGCTTGAAACTGTAACAGTACAAGCCCTTCAGATACTCTGGTTTTTCTCTCTGATAACTAAGTTACCAGATGTCTAAGGGGTGGGTAGTGTATACAGCATGGATGCATTGAAAAAGGAAGGATTCATAACAAGATCTCGTCACACTACTCAAACAATGTGCAGTTGAGTTCTTGTGAATTGTTCATTTCTGGAATTTTTCATTTAATATTTCCAGATCATGATTGAACGTGGGTAACTAAAACTCAGAAAGCAAAACCACAGAAAAGGGGAGATTACTTTACAACTGACATGCCCCAAAATTCATCAATTAAAATTTACAACTCAATGGTTTTTAGTATATTCATAAAACTTTAACATAATCACCAGAATCAGTTTTAGACATTTATATTATCCCACTAAAGACATCTATGCCCTTTAGCTAATACCCTTCAACCTTCTACCCCTCCCAGTCCCTAAGTAATCACTAACCTACTTTTTGTCTCTACTGGTAGGCCTACTCTGAACAATTCATACAAATAAAATCATTTAATATGTGGTGTTTCATGTCTGGCTTATTTTGCTAAGGATAATGTTTTTGAGGTTCATCGATATTGTGGCATCTAACAGTAATTCATTTCTTTTCACAGCCAAGTAATATTCCATCCTATGGATATACCACAGGCTGATAATTCATATGTAAGTTGATGGCCATTTAAGTTATTTCCATATATTTTGGCTAATATGAATAAAGCTGCTATATACATTTTTAAGGTATGTTTTTATATGGACATTTGTCCTCATTTCTCTTGAGTGTATATATAGGAGTAGTACTGAGTCACATAGTAATTCTGTTTAATCAGCTGAGTTACTACAAAATGGTTGTATCACTTAACATCCTCACCAACACTTGCTACTATTTGTCTTTTTAATTATTCCTGTCAGGACCAGCAGTTAGCGTAATGGCTATGTCACTGGACTCCCATGTAGTTGACCGCGGTTTGCGTCCCAGACCGGGTGGCTTAAAACTCACGCCGGGCACGTGTGCGTGCATGCCTAAGATCCCAAGAGGAGAATGGAAGAGAAGGGATTGCGGCGTGACCATCCCCCCTGGGGGGTGATTTCTCACTTTCTGTCTCTATGTCTCTCTGTGTCTGTCTGACGAGCGCATGCGCCCATAGCGAAAAAAACTTCGCGAAAAAAAAAATATTCTTATCTTGGTAAATATGAAGTAGTATCTCACTGTAGTTTTGATGACTAATAATGTTGAGCATCTTTTTTTATGCACTTATTGACCATTCATTGATCATCTTTGGAAATGTCTATTCAGATCCCTAGCCCATTCTTACTGGTTATATCTTCTAGCATGGTTCTATTTTAATAAATGTCCTTGAAAGTAATAAAAATAAGTGATTTAAATAAATATTCAATTGTTCAAGATTTTTAGAACTAATTACGAAAAGTCTTGCTTCTAATACAGTAATAATTAGTGGGGATTTATTAAGTATCCATATTTTCTCTTACATTTCCCAACATTATCATTTCTGATGTGTAAAACAGGAGGAGATAAGCACATTTTCCAAATCCTAACAATGGCTTAGGACCAGTCTGGGATCTGGATAAAATTTTAAATGTGGACATTTCTCCTCAAATTAGTTGCTATCCAATGGAACCATTAGAAAAATTCAACCCCCACTGCTGTGTTGCAGAACACCTAACAGCAGGTTTCATATCTTGAAATTAAAGCAGACTGTCAGGACCAGCAGATGGTGTAAAGGTTACATCGTTGGACTCCCACATAGTCAACTGTGGTTCGGGTCCTGGACCCCGTGGCTTAAAACTCACACCAGGCACATATGCATGTGAGCCCAAAATCTCAAGAGGAGAATGGAGGAGAAGGGAATGCAGCATGGCCATTACCCCTAGATGGTGATTTCTCACTTTCTGTCTCTCTGTCCCTCTCTCTCTCTGGAGAGCACACATGCCCTACAGCAAAAATCTCTTTCACTATAAAAAAGAAAGAAAAAAAAGCAGACCATGGCACTACAACAAGTCTTACTTTCAACATAAGGAAGCTTCCAAAAGTTTGTGGGAAATAGAATTAAAGGACAAGTTTATTTGAGTGCAAAAATATTTTGAAATCTATGCATAGTTTTTTCATAATATGCAGTTTATAATGAACTTTCTGAAGACCCTCTGCCTCCCCTGTACTTCTCACCAAAAAAAAAAAAACAAAAAAAAAAAAACCTCTTATAAAGATAAATGGTCAAAAACAATACATCTACTTGACAAAGAACAAAAGAAAGGGACAATCATTCCAAAACACTACTAGAATATTTATGGGTAAGCAACTGACCACTATGGGATGCTTCAGCAATCCCTGAAGAGAGAGACCGTCCAATTCCCTAAGAGCACCAATTATTTTAATGCGACACAAAAGCTTACTGGGTAATTTCCCATATGGCTCATTATCACTTTCAAACCTCTGTGGAAAGTCATTCTGCTAAGAAAAGTCTAAGCAACATTTTTACCTATCCACCGCCCTCCCAAAACACTCAGCTAATTCAAAATCTAAAACAACCCAAATCTCTGAATACTCATCTATATAGATACTGCATACATCTATAGAGTTTAAACTGCTAGGTACCTTTGCCTTGATTTGAGGTAACATTTTGATATAGAAAAACATTTTTCTTCATTTTATTTCTTAGTTAAAACAACTAACAATGCTTTAATGAAATAAAGTTGACAACTTTAAATATCTAAATATTATAAAACCTAATTTGGTACTTGTCAGCCAAAACATGGAGAGAAAATGGGAAAGTTTTGATGCCTTAAGTAAAAAAGACTACTGTAGTAAAGGTTCTATATCATGAATCCCAAATCATCAACAGGACCACAATATCCCATCGATATCTATTATACTGAGAATAGGAGGTCTCTTAGGACCAAAAATTTTCTACAGCTGTTCTGCTAGCCCAATCAGATATTTTTAAACCTTCATGATAAACAATCCTGAAAAAAATCTAACAAACACTTGAGATAAATAAGTTTAAATTATATTCTATGATGAATAACAGTTAAATGTTCTTTTTTAGCTTTATACTTCAGCTCTGTAGGAAAAGAAGTTCTGGTTATCATTATTCTGTTAAATATTCCATCTGTTCCTTATACACATACCAAGATTTCATGGCAAAGGAGATCAAGAAACACCACCAAGATTAGAAAAATTGGTAACAGCTTTTTAAACATTCATGAGGTTCTTTGACCTCTAAAGACTTTTCCAGCTAAGGGCAGCCGTATTAAGAATGAAGCATTATTTGTAAGAGATACATATGTTCTTACAGAAGTTCCCTGGATGACCACTAGCACGGCCACCTGGCCTTCCGTAGCCTTTGAAGAAATCCAATCACTTCAGAGGAAGGAATATAAATACGGTGATTTTACAAAGGATACGAAAGGTAAATGGGGCCTTTATTTTTGCCTTTAATTCTCTGGTTTGTGTGTCTGCTTTGCCTATGACTCTTTTATATGAAGGAGGAAAGAGCAGCTTATTCCTCCCCTCCTCCTCCACTCACTCCCCCCCCCCACCACTTTATAAATGGAGATCAGGGGAAAAGAGAGAGATAAAAAGAGATGAGAAGTGAGTAGAACTACCTATTTTGTTAGGTTAAATCAGCAGAGTGCCCATCTCAGATCCTTGTACAACAGAAAAATGCAGGGGCGAGGAACCAGGGCCTTGCATATTTGTCCTAGTTCTACTACTAGTTAACTGTGCAACTTACTTCAATTACCTAAACCTTTTAACCCTGTTTCCCAGCTGTCACACAAGATGTTAGAACTAAGTAATCTACAATAGTTTAAGACATGTCTGTGCACAAGTCTGTTCTTATTTCTCTCTGTCCAGAAGAATACTGCTTTCTCTTTCTCTTGGGAGAATTTTAAAAAGTGAACCAGAAGAAAAGCCTTTTTCTTCTGGCAACTTCAAGCTGTTAGACACCACTTGCCTTGTCTCATGGAGAGAAAAAAGTCAATGAGAAGAGAAATAACCAATGGGAGAGAAAATAAGAGTGGCTTTTCTGTCTAATCCAGTTCTTCTAGTCGCAGGGGTCAGTAAAGATACTCTGACACTTAAGTCAGCATGAACTGGTCTCTATACCAACAGCCAAAAAGATCCAGAGCTCTTTCAACTGACTATATTTATCAGCTTTATTTTAACTACTTATCACACCTTCTCTCTCTCTCCAGGTGAGTCTACAGGTAGAAGCAGGTGAACTAGCTTTATCCAACAACTGTTCCTCTGCACCAAACCAAGTTTCTAGGATTGTAAGCAGCTGAATCAGCAGAGGTGAAGCCCTCAAAAGTGAAGCCTTTTCCAGGGGCAGCGAAGTATTCATTTCTGTGGTCTCTGGGCCCAGGGAACTCTCAGTCATCTAGGGCTATGGTATTTGTCTCTAATCATCTAGGGCAAATCTAATGAATCACCTAGAAACCTTTTGTAAAAATACTTTGAAGTCTCTGCTTTTACTCCCTTCATATAATTGCCTTGGTTTGGGTTGAATTCAAGGTATGGACATGTAGAAGCTCGTCAGGTAATTCAAACATGTAGCCATGACAGAGAATAATGATTCAAGACTGTACAGCTACATAGAAAACATATCTTGACTCTAACTCCAATAGTATCAGTCAACTGATCAAGTCTGTCAGTAGCTCTCATTCCAGATAATCAAAAATAGAACTTTTCAAATCTTGTTTCTTTTGTCTGGAAAGCCCTTTCCTCACATTGCATTACTTAACTTTTATTCATACATTAAGACCCAGCACTCCACTTTCTCTGGACAACCTCCTGTCATGTGATGCACTTGTCCCTCCTAGGACCCACTTCCTTACCATAGCTGGATTGGTCTACAACTGCCAGAATGGAACCACTGGGACTACACCAGCTCTCCCACCAAAATCAAGTGGGATCCTGGAGAAAATATGTGCAACAACTATTTTCAAGCATCTACAGAGTAGGTAGTACAGGACTTTGATCCTTGAGAGAAAGGAAATAAAGGAGATGATTCTGGAGGTACCTTCCAGACTGCAATGCAGGGAGTGGGCTTGAGAGGCAGAGCACAGCAGGTTCCCTGAGTAAGAAGTCATAGAGAACAACTGGAGGTGGAGGCTGACTAGAATACATAGACCATGACACAGTGAAAACTCAAGATACAGCATCATTAGCTATCACCTGATGGTCCTGTGCTACCAAACACCTTAGTTCGGCTTTCTACTGGATCGTCGAAAAAGTTATGCATATTTTTCTATGTTTCTGTATGAAAAAATGTGTCATAACATTTACAATGACCCAATATTTTCTGTACCTTAATTAGTATGACTAGTTTCTGTAGTTACATCTTTTCAAATGCCACCTACATTCCCATTCCTAGATGATTACTTCTCTGAGAAAGGGACTGTAGCTCTTTCTTATCTTTTGCACAATGGTTGGTCTGGTATTCTACATGTGACCACTCACAAAATGCTACTGGGTATCTGTGTCTAAGAACATCAGATGGAAAACAAAAGTCAAAGTGTCATACGTATTGGGTTGTTGGAAAAGTCATGACACATTCTTGCATAGAAAAAGAGAAAAAGATGTCATGATTGATCCAACAATATATATTTAAAAATATAACATACATTATATAATATAAATATATTAATATAGTTATATTGTGTTATATTATGCTATTATAATATAATATGCAATATAATATATACACACACGTGTGCACACACACATATATATATATCTGTATATATACCTTTTGTATCTTTATCATTTAAGCCAAGGGTCAGAAAACTGTAATTTAAGGTCTAAATCTAACTCACTGCCTATTTTTAAAGTAAGATTTCACTGGGCCACAGCCGCACTCACTTGTTTATGAATTATCCATAGTTGCTTTCAAGCTACGAGGAGAGGTTGGTTAGTTGTGCGGAGATCATGCAACCAATAAAGCTCTTATGACCTAAAACATTAATTAGTCGGCCCTTTATAGAAGAGGCTACTGACCCCAGATTGAAGCTCCAGAAGTTCTCAGGTGACATGAATATATCAACAAAAGTGTCTTAGTTCATTTGCATTGTTATAACACGTAACCATACACTACATGGCTTATACATTTGTTTCTCATAGTTCTGGAGGCTGGAAGTTTCAGATCAGGGTGCCAGCAGGATCATTTCTGGTGAGGACCCTCTTCTGAGTTACCGACTACTAACTTCATGTTGTATCTTCATATAGCAGAAAGGGGGCCAGAAAACTCTCTTGGGTTCCTTTTATAAGGGTACTAGTCCCATTCCTCATGTCCAAATTTCTTCGCAAGGGCCCTACTGCTTAATTCTAAAACACTAGGCATTAAGATTTCAACATATGAATTTGGGAGGTGACAATTCAATCTACTGCATTACGATATCAGAGGTCTACAGCCTATGGCTTTCTTTAATGTCTATGTACTGGTACTGGTCCAGCATCCTATAGTATAACCACCCTGGAATGGAATTTAAAAGTCTTGGCCTAAAGGCCTTATGGTTTTAACAAGACATTCCTCTACAAAGCCAGTTTTTTTCACATGTTAATCAGCTGAGGAGTGAAGAAACCTGGCTCCATGTAATTTTTCTGATCTTTTGGGACAAATTTTGATTAACACATGTGGCTTCCTTTAAACAGATATTGCTCTGCAGTTTCAGGAAGCTAGCATATTCGCATGCAAATTGTTTTCATCACCATGTAAATGAGAGCTCATGAACCACCTTTCTGCGTATGTCTAAAGGTCACCACGTTTGCTCAGATTGGCCTCTCTCCACAAACACAGAAAACTAATGGGTTGTTGGGAAACTTACAACACATTTTTGCATAGAAAAATGACTTTCTCAACAATTTAATAGAAAAACACATTCTCCTCTTTAAGTTAAATGGTATTTATGAGAGAGATGTCTATCTTTGAAGAGTACAGTAAATATGAGTCTTCCCAATTATAGGTGAGGTGGGTTACAGAGAATCACATATCTGAAAACAACTTCTAACACTCTGCCAGCTGAGAGTAAGCGTAGCTCATAGGCTCAGAGTCAAGGGACCAGAGTCTAGTGAGACTCTTGCCATAGATAAGAAAACTCTGGTCCATCATACAATTGTTTCATGCCATAGTTAACTTAATCCCTGGCCTTTCCCACATATGCTCCTTGGGTTACATCTCAATCCAGCTTCCAGGCTTGTTATAAGTACAATTACAAAATGTGTAAATAAATGACAGTATAAACTACTACCATTTTAAAGCAGTTTATAGTGGAGAACATCACAGTTTTAAAAATAGTGAAACCTTAGTAAATGAAATAAAGTGCTTACCTGAATTATTAAAGTAGTATTGTTGTCCTGCATAACCAACACTGGAAGAAAAAATGCCTAAACATGAAAGAAACAGACATTTTAATGGTAGCTAAACAGGCTTTAACTGTTAATCTTCCTAACAATTAGGAGGTTCTTTGTGATAAAAACTACTGTCAATTCAAATTATTTCAAAACAATTGTTAAAATAAACTGCCTCTTGTTTGGGGGTCAGCCCTACAGGGAACAGAATGTGTGGGAGGGATGTGGGGCAATGAAAACCTAATTTACCCTCCCTGCAACTCCTTAAATGTTCCTGTTGACAAAAGATCATCTTTGACTCCCAAGGTACCATGCTTGGGCTTGGATGCCTCTGTATAAGTAGAGATGCTCTGACTAAAGAGAGAATCTTCCCCTAACAAGGGTTTAAAGGCCTACGTTTTACCCTACCCTAAGAATAAAGCTGTATCTTCATACGGCCAAAAGGGAGCAAGAGAGTTCTCGGTGGTTCCTTTTATAAAGGAACTGATGTTATTCTCAAGGGCTCTATCTTCATGACCTTACCTTAAGGATAAGGTAAGGAGTAGGATCTTTAAACCTGTGTCAGAGTATTCCGTACTCTTTCTTGTCCCTATGAAATGCAGCAGTAACCCACTCTATAATACAGTGATAATATACTTCTCAAGAGAAGTCAAATCCCACATTGTGATCATGGCTCAAATCCCCAGCCTGGTCAGCCTGAAACAATGCAGAGGAAGGGTACTGCAGTGTGACCAGACCCTGTGGAGAATGTCCATCTCTCTCTTGCCCTTCACGTGCACGCATACGAGCTCTATCATGAATTTTAAAAATTAAAGGAAAAAAAAGGGGAGGGCAGTAGAAAAGTCAATTTGGCACTGCTGAAAGGAGAAAGTTACAACAAAAACAACCCTTCAGCATGACCCTCCTTTTCCAGGAAAGATCAGACAACAGTCTCCACATGCTTGATCATTTTCTATGGGGTTCCTGTGTCACTGTGATTCTCAGCTCTACCCTGGATCCTTTCTCCAGCTTCACCAAAAAAGAAAAGGCAGAGAGTTTGCAGGCTGTGTGCGAATCACACCAAATGTTTGTTTCTATTTTCACATTTAACTTTCTGTTGTATTACTTCAAAAATAGTGTTGTAAAAATAAGTATTCATGAAAAACAGGTAAATTTTAAGAAGAGAAACTTAAGAGTTTAAATGTTATAATTGCAGAAAATCCTCTTTAAAATTAAACAAAGTACTTGCCTAAATTTTGTGGCATATCTGCAGAAAGCTTTACTAACCATTTAATCTTGAGACACACAGGGAAACGAAACCATTAAACTCCCGAGAATAATTTCTTTTCCTTTATCAGTACTCATTACTAGATTTCCATAATTAAATTGTTTTGAAAATAAAACTGGACATTTTCTTCTCCAAGTATACACACTGGATGCACAGAAATAAGCAAATGCAGGAAAATGGGAATCTGCTTGTAAAAATCATTCCAAAGTGAACACAACCTTCTAATAAAGGCGACAGTGCACTGCCTGGAAAGCTTTCTAATATCATGAATATTATATGGTTCTCAAGAATACCAGTCATCGGCACAAACTGTGAAAACAAATTATTTATGGTTCAAGAAAAGGTAAAATAGTCTCAGAAGATTTCCCATGAATAAAAGATGAAATATTGGAACTTGCATGGTCTATAAAACAAGTGTTTACAAAATAGTTTCCTTACAAGTCAAAACCAGTATAGCATTTTAAATTAAGAAGTTTAAAAAAATGCATATAATTCTAAATAAAATATTTTCATTGAGCGTCAATTTAAAGGGGAAAACAAGAAAGCAAAACGGCAGCAGAAGCCGAGCTTCAAGCAATAGCAGACTTGGTTTGGCCATGCGTGAATACATGTCTCGCCCGCCAAGGCCCCAGTGGTCATTCCGAATTCTTTAAAATAATGAACTTGCACTTCAGTCCGAGTTTGCTTTTCTTTTTTAACTTTTCCTTGCACATATACTAATTCGTGGAATATCACAGAAAAAAATGTATTATTTTAAAGCCACTTTAGTTCTCCACATTTTTGAGGAAATTGTGGTTTTCAGTGAGTAGCATTAAGGCTGTGAGTATAAATATATACTGGCATTTGTTCCCTAAGAAAGCCTCAAATTTAAAATCTGAGTTTGCATCCTTTTTTGTGGAGCAATGTGGGAACTGCATGGGCTATCTTACCTCTTGGTTAAAAAAGAAAAACATGCATATTAGGGAATTCCTAAGCAGAACCACAGGGGATCTTGGGGTTGCTTCTGCTCACATTAAAATTAAGATGAACTTCCAAGTTGCCATGCCAAAGGCATTTGTTCTGTACCTGCACATGCTTCCAAGATTTTCTTCAGAGGCCCCTGAGTGTACATGAGGCCAACAAGAATCCCGGCCAGATGCCCGGCGAAGGAAGTCCTAAGAAGGAAGGAGAGCCTTTGTGAGTGTTTGTTCTGCTGCTGGTTAGAGACATTCTGTCTTCTCATTAGCCCAGTGCGTGTCGATTAGTCACAGTCTGCAGGCTTTGTTCCACATCACGTCGTTTATACTGGACAGCATTTAACTCAGTCCAAAGAACAACATTTCCTATCTTTAAAAAAAGCACAATGAATAACAACCACCACATGGTTGAAACACCCCCCTTCTCCATCACCCAAAGAAGTGAGCTGGCTTTTCTAGGGCAGCGGAAGCATTTTGTCAAGACGAGCCATTATACTGCTTCCGTTTTTCTCTGTACCTCTTATCATGAAACATCAATGAAATCCGTTTTCTCTGTCCAGAATAGAATCTGGAATTATCCAGTCATTGTGAGAGATGATGTCTCTGTGTTCATAGCAGAGTCAATTGCTTTACACACCACTGACTAGTGAAGCAGAGAGCAAGTAAAACTCAGAAAAAGACACTGAGATTCCCCCCTGCCCCGTCCCCCCGTTATCTTCATATATATCAATCATTTAGCAAAAAAAAAAAAAAATTGAAACTTCAAACTGGAAAGATGAGTTAGGGCATTCACCTGGTTCCACCCTTCCTGTGGGCATCTAAGATTGGCAACTGCTTATAAAACTTATTTTGAAACATACTGTGATACCTGTGAGTTGGAGGTAGGGATGGGGATTGCCCCTGTGGAGGCCACTGTTAAGCAACTCAGGACAAGGGTAAGAGATTACTGGTGAAAATCTACATAGCCGTTATGGAAAAAAATATGAAGGTTTCTCAAAAACCTAGAAATACAAGTACCATATGACCCAGTAATCCCACTCTTTGGTAGTTACCTGAAGGACAGAAAAATATTCGGAAGACACTTACACATCCATGTGTATTGAAGCATTATTCACAATTGCTATGACATAGAATTAAATTAAGTACCCAAGAACTGATGACTGGGTTGAAAACTTGTGGCATATAGATATTATGCAATACAATTCAGCCATAAGGAACAATGAGACCCTGTCATTTGATTCAAAGTGAATGAATATAGAAGATGTAATGCTAAACAAAGTGAGCCAGACTTTGAAAGAGATACTGTGGGAACCAGCAGTTAGCGTAATGGCTATGTCGCTGGATTCCCACATAGTCAAATGTGGTTCGCGTCCTGGACCCGGTGGCCTAAAACTCAAAACAGGGACCATGTGTGTGCATGCCCAAGATCCCGAGAGGAGAATGGAAGAGAAGGGGTTGTGGCGTGACCATCCCCTCTGGGGGATGATTTCTCGCTTTCTGTCTCTCTGTCTCTCTCTGTCTGTCTGGCGAGCGCACGCACCCTGTAGCGAAAACCTCTCCAAAAAAAAAAAAGAAAGAGATACACTGAATATCCCTGCTCAATATATTCTGAATGTCTTCACTCTGTGGTAGAAATGGAAAGATCAGAAGATATGACAGTCAAGAGGCTAAGTGTAGATATTGGAGATTGTAAGGGAGAAGAGTGGCTGGTAGATGGTGAGTAAGAGGGGCAAAGAGAAGAAAGACTTAAGAGACAGAACGCGCAATTCCCTACTGAAAATGATTTCTATGGTAATGTTCTTGATTTAATGATCACGTACAATAGGCATACTTTGAAAAACCATTTAATGCACTATAGAGATGTGCAATGACTGCAATTAAGAAACCATAAAATTGGGAAAAATAAATTATTGGTGATTTTCTCAAAAACTCATTTTGGGACCAGCAAATGGCATAATGGTTATGTTGCTGGACTCCTGCATAGTCAACTACGTTTTGAGTCTTGGCTTAAAACTCATGCAGGGCATGTGTGCATGTGTGCCCAGAATCTCAAGAGGAGAATAAAGGAGAAGGGATTGCAAGGGTAGCCATTTTCCCTGGAGGGTGATTTCTTGCTTTCTGTCTCTCTGCCTCTTTCTTTCTTTTTTTTTTT